TTTTTCCCTTGTGCCGTTTCTCTAGCAACTGCTCAAGCTTCGCGAGGATCTGAAACAGAGAGAGACGGAGCTGGAGAAGAACTCGGAGGAAAAACAACAGCTCGAAAGCCAGATCCAGAGTCTGAAAGATCGGATTCAAGCTTTCCCCACATCACACGCTCTGCCCGTGAGTTACAGACGGCTCTCTGTCTGTGCTTGTGTTCTTTTAACTCTGTGTTCTGTCTGGTGAGGAGATGAGATGAGACGAGACGGCTGTCAGTTTGAGGACGGCGTGTATTAATGAGTCTGTCCTGCTGAACGCTCTCCAGGGATTCAGATCAGAACGGGAATATCTGATTCCCTGCACTCTAATTAAAGGAACATGAGCTCAGGATGAGTCTCGGTGTTCAAAACGATGAAAAGCAGTGTGAAATTATTGCATTAGACTCCCCTGTTTACAAGCACGCAGACATTTGAGTGCTTTTATATTAATGCATTAACATAACAGGCATAATTTCAGAGATAAGATGGCAATGATGCAGTGGGGATGTTTGGGAAATAATGCAGGTACTGTGTTTAAAACGGTGGTTCTTGACATTTTGGATTTGAAGTCTGTCTATCTATCTATACTGATACAAACCTCTGGTACTCCCATTGTAATAGACATAAATAAATACAATAAATAAACAAACAAAAAAAAAATTGATTTCAGATTAATTTTGTACATCTTTAATTTAAGTGTTTTTAGCATTAATTAAAATTATGTTAATATAACTAAAATGACATCTTTTTAATATTATAAAAACTTAAAAATGTAAAATTATATATATATATATTTTTTTTTTTGTGTTTGTTTGTTTGTTTATTTTTTATAATAAGTAATAATAATAATAATAATAATAATAATAAACTCCCTGGTTTAAAAAAAAACACTCAACAATTTCTATCTTAATTTATATTCAATTCCAGGGTTTGTTTGTTTCTTTCTTTTCTCCACTTTGCACTGAAATTTTGAATACATTTTCAGCTGAACTTTTCTTCTAAAATGAGCATTTTTCTCAGGCTCTCATGTGTAGGTTTAGTC